GTAAGAATTAACGGATTCGTGTGTAAACCATACCTACACCATGCAACGAACCCGGTAGATGTACCGTAGGACCGTTAAACCCTACGGCTGTCTAGAGTTAGACAATAACTCTTTTGTGTATGGTCGAAGGTGCGTGGCGCAGGAATATTGCAACGTCACCAGGTTGTTGCGAAGGTTGCCTGGCAAGGAAGACTCTCGAGACCGACATTGTTTTCTGATTTTCCGGCTACTCGTTCGTGTCGTTACGTTTGTCGACCGTCGCCGGTTTTGTCCGTGCATTTCGAGAGGAGGACGATAGAGTTCTTTGGCCTGCGAGAATATCGACGGCGAATAAACCGATAGCCAAACACCGCTGCGACCGTCAAGTTTGTGTACTTAAATATCGGTGGAACGCGATCGTACACCGACGAAACGACACGCGCCGTCACAGGTAGAAACAGAGGCGACGTGACGTTTCGGCCATGCCGGATCCTTCACGGTGAAACAGGAGAACGTTACGAAGGGGTAAATCGCATGGGGTACATTTTGTTGACTTATCAAAATTACAGTCACGTATGAGTCCTTGAAGAAGAGCTCGAGAAGAAGGGAAAAAGGTACACGTCGAGACAGGAAGGAACGAGCCAAGAGCACCAGACAGTCGAGTACATGGTTTCGCGATTAAAACTTTATGGTGTTTATTTTCATTATGGCCAACGTTGCGTTTCGGTCTTAGAGGGAATTAGTCATTTTCTTTCTCGACGTGCCCAGACACGACTGTTCTTCTCGGTGGTAAATTAATCGAGAGCGAAAATAATATAAAGTTGTGAAATAATGGTTTTTAGGGAAGAAGCTGATAAAGTTACATTGGAGAGATGACTAAGGAGCTGGTTAAACGGGGCTAAATGTTCGTGACTAGTTTAAACTTACCAATGCACTTATACAAATTCTCTAATTTCCTTTGGGTCGCGGCCCTATATGTTTTTGTACGAATTCGGGACCCTCCGCTCGTTGGGATCGAATAGTGGGGGAAAGCTCGCGTGTCTATAATTACGACTGCCCGTTTATCGAAGACTTTGCTTGCTCAATATAACACCTTATAATGTTATAATTATACGAATACAAGCGTAACGCTCATAACAAGAACTCCAGAGTCAATGACTCCTTCGGTCTCCTAAGATTTTTTAAGATTTGATCTGATTTTATTCTCTGCGCATCGCACATTAAATATGAAAAAATTGGTTTGCAATTTACATGCATCGTTACGATGTAATACATTCATATGTATTCTAAGGTCGTTCGCAAAGAAACTTTCTGTAGGTGAGAAAATCAGTTAGGTCATTTATGGAAATACAGGAAAGAAACGGTTCGAGGCAAAGAACCTTGGGGAACACCGAAAGAACCTCTGATCGAAGACGATCAAGGTTTAAAAATGCGAATGATTTATTGTGTAAACGATTTGCCAACCTTCGAATCACGATAACAAGTTTCCTACCCGTTCTATAGCAAATAATTTAGACAGTACAATCGAATCGTTTCCCAAAATCAGTCGGAATGGTACGTACTCGCGAATTACACTCTAACGAGGAAGACATATAGCCACAAAAAATTGTTAATTTAGAAGCTATAGAACGCGAAATCGTATTGCTCATTATATATAATGGCAAAAAGTGTTAGATTAATTTGCGTAGTTGTAATGTTTCCGAGAAGTTTGGGCGCGACATTACTAACGCAAACAGATGTGTAATTTCTCACATCTGACTCACCGTCCAACTTAAATATAGATGTTATTCGATTAGTTTTCCGGTCTGACGGAAAACTCCTGTCTAGAGATGTATCTGAAAAATAATACGAGACAAGATTAACCCTGTCGCACCGCTGGGATTTTCGGAGTTGAATAGTTTTTCAACAAAATACACGATCGAAATAATTTTTCCGTATCTGTATTCAATTCTTTCGACGAAGGTTATCGCATTTTTCTAAACGACTTGAGCGTAGTAATTATTTGGAATATGTACGAGGGTTACAAAATAATATAAAGTTACAGGACGTAAACTGGCGAGGTGCTGTCAATATCAGGGCTTTTATGGGGACTCTGTACATGTGTATGTTAACACGTACCGCCTACGGGTTGACTCGTAGGTGACAATCTGTCATCGGATGCTGTCTGCGTGGTATCTCTCGAAGGCGGACTTGTTCTCAGCGTGAATATATTTGTAACAGATGTAAATACTGAACAGGGAGCGTTAGAAATATGGATAAAACAAGTCTTTAAAACTTATCAACCACGTAAAAATAACACAATTCGCAACGATGATATTTAAAACGCTTTTAGCTGATCTTTTTTGACACAATGGACGATAATAACGTGTTTTTCTTGTCTTTTACGTGCATTCGACGCGTCCGTGAGAATATTTATTTCTATTTTTAGACGGAAGGAAACGTAAGTAATAAACGTCAAGTTTATCGCCGAGCGGATTAGACGACGCTGTACGATGTGCAATGCCAATTTGCAAGTCTTACGTTTGAGATCATCGTAGTTGTTTCGTAGGTAGTGCTTGCGCGAATCGCGATGTCAGCTTGTTTGAAATCTCCTACGATAATCATCTTGCGGCATAAAAAGAGATTCGTGAAAAGTCATCGTCCTGCGAGAGACAACGAAAGTCGTTTTACTCGACTATACGGAAGTACGGCGAGACTGGATGTTGCGTAGGTTGACGAAGGAAACGCTGTGTCCAGCGGGATGATAGTCCACGAATGATTAATTGCTCGGCTACGAACGACGCTGATCTTTTTCCAGCGATCCCCATACATGGCACGCGTTGTTATACATTTTAAGATCATTTAGCTTCGAAGTATTCCACTCGATGCGTTCTGTAATACGGCGCTACGTACGCTCGATACAATCCGGAGAGGCGTTTCTTTTGCATTGTGTTCCCCAAGCGGATCGCGTAGAAAAGAAGATTAAGGAATCGATAACGCAGTTATATCGCGTTGGTAATGATACGAGATGCATCTCGAGAGAAGTTTCAAGGAAAAATTGTACTTGAACTGTAGAAGCAAAGTTCCATCAGCCGTATCCGCGTAGGCAGAAAGCCCGCGCGAAAGTTTCCGTTTCTTTCGGTCATCGTTTTGTTTTGTTCTGCTTTGCGTGCGCCTTTGCGATAAGAACAGTCGAAACGAACGGACCGGCTGCTAAATGGATAAGGAAACGTAGGCAATACACACGAGCGCACTCGATTCGGGATAATATTTCCCCGGGGGTACTAAACATTTCATGCAAACCTCCGCTGTACGGTAATCAGACCCTTGGTAATATTTTTTCTTGATACCGCGGGAATAGAGTGCATTTGGCGACTATTGTGAGCTTTATGGGGCAATATAATGTTATTAATTCTGTACATGACCGTTGTTTCCGAGCATTTTTAGCTCTGTTAGCGTACGTGCCTCAGTTTAAAACGCGTTGTCGTAAGTGAAGAATCGCGGTGAAGTCGTAACTGCAGCACTTAGCATTAAAGGTTAATAACACCTACAGTTTCTTAGATTTAATCCTATGTTCACCCAAGTGAGTTACAGAGTACCGTATATTTACTTTATCTTTGCACGTTTTCTTATAACACAGGCTATTTATTTAAAATAAATGTTAGTTGTCCATCTATTTTTAATTTTTTATTGCAGTCTCTTGAAGCGATGGTGGCTCGTTTGCAATGAAAATCAAATTTGTTTGCGACACACCAACAGTCTTGTTACGACACGTCTGTTGGGAAACGGTGCCCTACATGATTTACTTCTTGGTGATGTCATTGTCAAAGAGTATTGTTAGAGAGATCGGTATCGAGAACGTGCGAGCAAAATTCATCTTTGTACAACTTACCACGCATTTACAAGTATGTATCTGACTCATTCGTGACCATGACGGTTTTATTCTGTTCTGAAACTTCTCGCGCGTCGATGATTCATATCGGTTGCGCGGATTTAAATTTCGTTTGGTTACGTGCTCCTTTAATTTCTTCAAAGTACGATATCTCGGCTGGAGATTTCAGTTTACGGATCGTCGAGCACAAATAAGAAAAACGAGCCTTAATGCACGAGAACTACGGAGGTATACATATACTTTCAAAATATTCATCGCGTATATCTATATAGTGGGATGGTTCCTTTGAAGGTTAAGAGGCCGTCTAACCTCGAGTGACCCGTTTCATCGGGTAACCCGCACACTAGTGGCTTTGCGGCTTTACGACCATTTCACTCAAAATTGTCGAGTTTACCGCATTTTCGACGCTGTACTACCGTTTTATTCCCGTCTTTTTTGCATTCTTCGCGACGACAATTTGTTCCGAAAGCCAACTTGCCTTGTTCTACGGGAGCAACAAAGATCAAATCCAGTTAAATCGACCGATTTATTTCGTCGAGAAATATCGAAGTATTTTTAGCGAAGGAGAATTATTTGAAAACTATTCCGCATTTTATGTATTTTATTATTCATATATTTTCTTACGTATTGCAGTCTATATTTCTCTAATCGCAAGTCAAGGAAACACAATCTATCCATTGGGATTATTTCTGATAGTATTTATATATTTTGTGCTATCACAAATTAGGTTAATAAGAACGTAAAAAACTACTGTGCATTTCAGGCGCGTTCGCGATAAAACGTAAATCTTTGTTCGATCGAATTGTGTTGGCGTTGGTAAAAGTGCTCGAAATTTCGTTAGGCGACAGAGTTTTGTAGCGATCGAGCGAACCTAGGAAGGACCAGTTTACCGTTCGAAGCAAGGAAGAGCAGAAGATATGGAATAAGCAGGAAGGAAAGAAATATAATCGTTGCGAAATATGAGAAAAGAAACAGCCTTTCGAATTGAGCGTCACTGAGGCTTCGATAAACGCCGTCCGCGAGGGCAGCGCCTCTCTTCGGGTCGGTTGGATGTCGGTTCGGAAGCGTTCGGTTATTCTCGCAACGAAGTTGCCGACGAGTGGCGCGCCGAGACGAGACGCGACTCGCGTTGCCAGTCACCGACAAGGCTTCGTCGCACAAGTGTCTTTTTTGGACGCGGTTCACTGTCGCAACCGTGCGCCTTTAACGTTTACGATTGCTATTGCAATTGTAGTTGTAGTTCTGACACGCCGGAAAACAGCACCGTAGAGCTGTGTTGTGTCAAGTACGGGAATTCAAATAACAACATACCTGGGTATGCCAAAAATCTTTCCGAAACATTATCGATCCGGCGTTTAGGTGAAGTGAATACGAACGTGTGCCTGTGTAAAGTTGTGTAGCGGCGTCGCGTCATTCCGCGCCATTCGGTGATTTGTTTTGACATGTGTGTGTACTGCCATATTGGATTATCGCATCGTGTCTTAAGGGTTGTACGGGCGCGAGTGTCGCGTTGAAAAGGTATGTTGTGTTTACGATTTTTCTCGATTTATAATCTACAATTAACCTTCGGGGAATGCGGTAATAGTATTGTCACGTTGCGTCGGGTCGAATAAACGCGTCGACGGATCATACACGTACCATGAATCGCGGTTGGTGTATCGTTCCGATTTCAAAATAACAGTCGTTTTGGTGTTCGAAAGATTTTGAGACCACGTCGAGAAATGGCTCTCGTGTTCTATTAGTCGGTCGTACGAGTGAATCGTGAGACAAATTGGTACCGGAATTATACGATATTTTATCTTTGTGAACTGCATACAATATTTACGCGACAACGCGCCTCGTAACTCGAATAACGAGGGATATTCCGTTTCGGTACGATTATAAAATATTAATTCGTGTCAAGGTTCGTGAACTCGTATTTACTAAATAATTTTACGTTACGATGAATCGGCCAGAGGGAATTGGCGACTAAATATAACGAGCTGGCGTTATCTTTCTTACGAGTTTTCTCATTGAATGGATCGGAGGTGAGAAAAATCTGCCGCTGGTTTTCTCATTTCCCTGATCGATCTAGAGCGATGTCAACAATCGTCGCTTACGTTTGTTTGTTTTTTTTTCAATGGTTCGAGGCTTGCATGGCCAAGATAGATGCAACATACTCGATTATAAACCTGTGAATGATTTTCACAATCAGAATGGAAAATTATTAGACTATGTAATATTGGAGTACTCGGAAATTATAGATAATTTAAATTTTTTGTTTGAATTTTTGTTGGTATCGCTTACCAGGATGGTTCCACTTCGTATGAAATACTAGCTCGTTTGGGTAAGAAAAAAAACATGCATCGTAGAACTTTGGAGTTTTGCATGAAAACTTAAGCAGCACATTTTCTCGTTCGCCGATCGAGTTGAAATTTTACAGGGGTTATTTTTTATACGCAGCGTTGCATTCTTCAAACACACAAGAAGTCTACGTATATTTATGTGGTCAAAAGTTGTGTATACAACTGTTTTATGTATTTTGGCATGGACGTACAACGTTTGCGCAGATAAAATATTTAATTTAGGGACACAGAGTAAAATAAATATTCGTTATAACAAATGTATGTAGTATGTGAAGGTATAATATTTATACAGCGTAAAAAAACATACAACTTACGAATTGTAAGTCATCGATATGTATTTCGTATGGTGCAGTTCGAAAATTCGTTGTCGTCGAGCGTATTAATAGGAGAAATAGGTCGTGAAACCGATAATGATGCCTTTGATGCTCGATAACTTGTTATTTACCATCTGTATAAAGGTAAGTCATATCAAGAAATCAGCAATTTATTAAACTGGAACAAGAGTACAGTAGCGGGCATTATACAAATGTATATTCCATGAGAATCGAAACGATTTAATTTCTCATAAAGGAAGATTGTATTCGTTCGATAAACGTGACGTTATTAAAATGATAAAAATATCTCTTGGATTAAGTCCTCAAAAATTAACTATGAAATCGTTTGAGGAAATTAGAAAGTTTCTATATCCGGATACAGTTCGGTGAGCGTTGAAAGAAAGCGTTTACAACTGCAGAGTGGATCATAAAAAGGCGTAGATAAATGAAGTGAATCGCGGGGAAAGATTAATGTTTGGCAAACATATTGTTTCCGAGGAACAAACGCGGTGGAATGATGCCATATTTGTAAGCGAAAGTACACCGAATGCCTTTGGATCTGAGATATGAAAAATGATGTGGTATAAACCCGACCGAAAACTTTGAAGGAAAAACATTTAACCAGCCGTGAGTCACCATGGTGAAAGTCACATGGTTTGAGGGTGCATTTCAACGTTAATGCTTATAATTTCATATTAAGAAAACTATTGTTATCGACCATTTAAATTTTATTTGTACTCGTTTTTATGGTTGGAATTATATGGTTGTTCGGTATAGTATTTGCGAGGTCACGCGTAGGCGTAGTAAATTCGGGTGGAACAGATTTTTAAACAATGGGTACTCTACTGGTCGGCCAATTAGAGTGCGGTGAACGATGTGTACTCGATCGATCTATCGTAAATATGAGTCGAAATGGACAATCGTTGACACGTGCCTTTTTAGTAGAACTGTAATTGAACAAGTTTTATTTAACTTTGTTTACAATTCCTTTGTATATTCTCCATGTTTTTATAACGAGACTAATGATTTTTTGTAATTTGTTCAAAATTTTCTTCAGAACACATACGAAATTATATAAATCTGATTTTTGAATTTTTAAAAGTTTGAGATTATAAGGGTCGTCAAACGAAATCAAACCGTGCACGATATCATAGATTCATAGATTCTTGAGAATTGTAAGTTTGATCGGTTGAAAGTAGATGGAGGTTTGGAGAAGTTGGAAACAGGAAAGAGCATCTTGGACAATTGGTCTTGTCGCTACGATTGTTCCACCAGCTGTCAGTCTTAGATACAGCTCCGAGCTATGCACAGACTTACGTAATACAATTACGTGCAAGTCGTGTGACACCGTCATCGTAATCGTGGTGATTCACCTTTCTCGCGTTCGAAATGTACGCGATCGTCTGCTCCCGGGTCGCGATTGTTTCGCAACTAACGTAAAGAGTCGTATTGTAGTATGTTTGAAGTCGCGTTGCATCCGATTTCTCGACGAATATGCTTTCTCATTTTTGCTGTCGCGACCCGTTGCGAAATACCTTTTTCTCTGCGCCCTCTTCCTATTTACGTTATCCGTTTGGTCCCGCTGGACAATGTTAATTGGATTCCAAGAACAACACTGTCTTTTCTCAAAACTATTTCCTCGTACAAAGTATTCGGTACGAATATCATATAATTATTATGCATAAAATATTTATTTATTAAGCGCTTGTTAGAAGAAGTAGCTACTCGATTGCCTTTCGAAATTTCAACCTAAAACCCGACCATAGTTGTCGTAGCCCGGAGGGGAAATGTTGTTTTCGTTTATCGTGCGACGAATAATGCAAATGCAATCGAGTGACCGAGAAAAGGCAATAGAGAGTCTGAGTTTTCAACTAAACACCGATAGTATGAATAAGTTATGAATCGTCTGACGAATCGTCGGAAAAGACGGAATTGTCTTGAAATAGAAGTTCTATTATTTGTAGAAGTACTGAAAATATCCCACTACTTTTCCAGATCTAGTAAACACAGCTCGTAAAGATAGGTTCGTATTCGTATCGGTGCTCGTGCCGTAACTTTTCAACGAAGCTTTATTTTAAACCCACGGAATATACTAACAAAGTTTGGTCATTGAAACCTGGGGGACAGCCTGTATCGACACGCGGATTCCGCCATTTTCTGTATTTCCGACAAGAGGCGTCGTGCTCGCGACGGCACAACAAAATCGTAAACAACGCGAATCGTCAAATTTAGCACGGATGTTTTTCTTCGTCTCGAATAACTCCGTACTCGCGCGAAAAAAAAAGAACACGCAAGCATTGAACGTGACCCGATTCACTCGGGCTATTCTTGGGCGCGGGCGGTTGTTTAAAACCGTCTGTGTACGTACACACGTTCTAAACGATTTCACCCACACCGTAGCGGGTAAACGAAAGGCGCGGTTTCCGATTGGTGCAACGTAATTGGCGACGTGCGTCCTACCAATCCGGTGCCGGTACGATTCGCGTCCGTACAGCGTCTGTGGATCGGCGTTCCCCAAACTTTTTAATCTCCCGGGGTTTTTTTATATCAGAAATTTATGCGGATCGCCGATAGAATATCTATGAATCTTTCATACACCTTTACATAGAGATCGATTGGTCTATTCTGGCACTTTCAATGGATCTTTCACCCGCGAATCGCTTTGCAAAATCGGGTCATTCGGACTATATTGTCTCGTACACGGAGAGAATTTTCTATTAAAAATTAGTACACGCTTTCTTCGATGTAAATAAAACTTATTTATTATATTATAGTCACTGTTGTATATAGTATATAATTATTTTTTTATTTGCAAATTTTGAATGAGGAATATAACGAATTACGTTGATTCACTCACAAGCCTTAAATTACTAATAAATCGAATTTATTCGTTATTCTAAATAACTTTTGGAAGCTTTAGCTTTTTTTAAATGAACTTTTTGAGCAACACTACTTGTCGGGTTATCTGTAAAATGAATGATGATAATCGTACAGTAATATAATGATAATTGTGAAACGTTTGGGGTTGTTGTACAATCCGCCATATACGTCGCGTGTTTGTTGGATACACGACGTGGCTGTTAATGCCGCTATCGTTTCAATTCGACCCACGAATTATCGTACAATAAATCATTGTGTCAATTGCCCCTATGAGATTGCCTGGCTTCGATACGAGTCGGCGAACAATCGGAAATTCGCGCTTTGATCTTGCGGTTCGCGTCTCGAGAACGGACACTCGAGAAAGTCGTACAAGAAAAGGATTTCTTCTTAATTAACTTGATCTAATCGTAGGTGCGAAAAAGACGAGACTCTGTCCCATAGGATAACCATTCTTTAAATCGGCGACGTCTTTTGTCTCGGAATTTCGCTTTTTCGCTCTATCTGATTAAATTTTTCACCGACCGGACGAAACGTTGGAATTATTGCGGGAATTTGAAATTTATCCTCGAAGCCCGAAGAGAATTCAATTATGCATGAAAAATTTACATGCACCTTTATCTTTTCTGACAAAGGGCATATTTAACCCCCATTAATAACAGTCGTTGTGTGATTAATAATATATGAAAACCTAGTTTCATTTATATAATTATTCAATTAAAATAGTATTAGTGCGATCTGTTAATTCCTCTTCTGTTCCGTTAGTCTATAATATGGATTCTATATAGTATTATATAAATTAGTTGGTTTGGATGTTGTGGGTACTTGTACACGATAAACTCAAGAGTCACTGGACCGAGTTAGATAAAACTTTCACTGCTGGGAAGCGTATTTCCTCGGTTCGAATATAGGCTATGTAGCATTATTACTCTAGCGTGACCAAGATTAGAGCAGCGAACGAAAACGTGAACCAAAAGATAGCACCATCTATTATCTAAACAGTGAGCACAAGCTATTGCATTAATTCTTGTTTACTGTCTTTATACCCTCTGTTGAAGTCCGGGTTGAAGAAATTAAATATATATATATTTCAAGCGAACAATGGCGGACATTAAAACGAGCTTCACAGTCAGACAGTCAAGAATGTAATGCTGCTTCTTGCATACTTTCTAAATCTTATTGTATACTAAAACTAAAGAAAGGAAAAAGGGGCATGGTATGACGAACTTAGGTGGACTCTATCCTTGTTGACAAAATGAGCAAGGGCTTGTCATCTAGGCAACTAAGAGGCGATGAGCCAGAATATACATTGATAAGGAGGGTTGGTCATCCAACACCTCATTAGTTTTATAAAATGTACAGCTTATATACATTATGTTAAATAAATAATGTTTCGTGTAAAGACGGTATTTCATTCGCTTTGTTTGTTTGCTTCGGGCGATTTTCCGGGCTGTCGAAATTTGTTTTTCGAACGATTTGCTCCGAAAGCTAAATCGTCGATGATACCGTTAGCGTAACGCGAACATAAAGACGAATCAGATGCCGATAGTGTTATGTGCGGGCCGAAGAAAAGCGGATAAAATTAGTCGTGTGGAAAACGTGTTCGGTCGACCGACAGGCACGTGCAAAATCCTTTTGCTTCTACTTCTTCCAACGCGTCCTCGTGAAATCGTTTCTTTTACACAACGAATTTCGTAATAAATGCTAGAACCCAGACACCAAGCTATTTTACAAAGGAAATTAAATCGTAAACGTAGAATACGAATTACGAATAACATTGAACTTACTTTGGAAGAGGATGGATCACTAAACAAATAAAGAAACTGTCTAAGTCAGTAGCTAGGTTTTACCATATAATTTAGCTAGTATAATAGACTAAACAATTTCCCTCAATGCTAAATTCATTTATAATTTCTAGAGCAATAAACTAGCCGTTCCATCGAATGTCGCATGTTATTTATACACTAGTAGCCACACGGTTCTTAAATGATTTTCTAACGGATGGATGGGTCGTGCAGGACTTATTGCCTGGCCTGCTGGTTCCCCAGATTTAACTCAGCTGGATTTTTATTTTCGGATCCACTTAAAAAGATTGTTTATTCAACGCCCGTTGCCAGTGTTGAAATACTTTGGTAACGCATGTATATGCGAAAAAACATCCAGCAGTTTCAACGAATTCGATCAAATATCTGGAAAACGTTATAATAAGGCCATTTGGGTGGCCATTTCGTGCATTTCCTGCGAAATTAAGCATCTGGGACAGCAACTTGGGAACGAAGTCAAACATATGTTTACGCCAACTATTTTCACTTGCTTTTGTCCTTCCGGCCCACCGTTGAAACCGCCACCATATGTTCGGTTACACCCTGTGCATTGTTTTAGATGTAAAAAAAAAAAAACTTTTGCTTAATTCGACCCCGACAATGTCCGACTTTGCATTAAGCGCGCTCGATCGTTTGTATTTGGCGAGATTTCTTGGCGGGACGGTGACGTTTTGATCTCGACACGTCGGGTAAATACTGTCTGCGACGTGTTCGTTTAACGAGAGACAAATAGAACCCCTGCGAAGTGTTTGGCGCATCGAGAACAAAAAGTCCCCAGACCCTAGTCCTTGAGCACGCACCCCGTGCGTCCGTCTAACATCTGTTACCCCTCGGTGCCTAATTGTTATTGCACGTACGTTGTTCCCGTTGCCCGCAGCAACGCTCGTTAAACTTTTCTGTTGCGTTATCCGTGAAACGCTCGGCAGTTCTTTTCTCAGTTATTTCCCCTACACGCGCACTCGGGCCCATTAATTCTTGCCGTTTGAGCGAAATGACGCGCGGCAATCTCGCGCCATTTTACCTCGCGAGCGTCTATGCAGTTGCAACTAGAGAGAAACAGCTTCGAAGAACGTCGAATAATGCTCGTGTTATCAAAATAAGTATAAATCAACTTGTATTCGATGCATGGGTAGTAACGAATATCTTAGCATTTTTTGTTTGAATATGGAATTTTAATTATTTCTGTAATTTGCAATAACTGTATTTTACAGTCTTTATTGCGCAAACTTTGCGTTTACGTACGCGTAAATATTGTTATAATCTTTAAATATCGAACTGTTTATAAGGTTCTGATTTCATGCACTCGCATTTAGGTTACGCGTATCAGATTTCATAACAAAACGATACGTGCCATTTATCGTTCCTGTCGCGCGTAAGCTGGTAGCTCGTCGAAAAGGGAAAGAGGGGGATGGCGTTTTGGTGTTTCGTGTTTCCCTCGAACGGTCGGAATTAATGGTCCTGCGTGTCGAATAATTTTAAAATAACTTTCCGTGTTACGATTTTCGATAAATTTAGCAAACTACTCACCAAAATTCTTCTATCTTTCGTCTGTTACAGAACGACGTTATTCGAAGCGACGATGGATCCTACGATCAAAGCTGCGTGGATCAGTTAAGGTAAGAAAGAAAAGTACAATGTGTAATAAAAATGTGCATCGATCGCAATATATAGAGGCGGCTAATAATAGAGGCCATAGACGGTAACAATTTATTGCACGACGAGTCGTAGAGTTGCAATCATAATGATATGGCAGAGTCGTACTGCCATCCAATATGGCGACGCTGTGCGAGAGATTGTACAATAACCTCCATACGTTTTACAAACTATCGTTCGAACGATCGTTTCGACCATAATTTAACCAATAAATTTTGTAAATCGATCGATTTTTTGCTCCCAGATTTGTCAATTAACGAAAAAAGTTTGGTATAAATGAACGTCGGCCCTAGTCGCGTTTCGATCCATCATTTGAACGGTGTTTTCGTCGATGGTTACGCGAATCAAATTTACCCGATTGATTCGTAGATGAACTCTCTTAAACGAGAACGAGTTACGTTATTATTGTACGCTACGGTTGGTTAAGAATCGTCGGTTGTCATTGGGTCATTAGGTCGACTCGATGAACCAGTGCAACGTGGAACGATGGATGGAGAAGATTTCGAGCACGAGTTATTATTAGGACGGGTTCTCCCGTACTGGAAATTGTTCTCCACTCCTACCGCTTCTCCTGTTTATTTTCACTTCGTGTACGTGTATTCGCGGTACGTTTCCGAAAGAATTAAATCGAAACGACGAGGATGCAGTCGATGCTCCATTTTCTACTCCGTAGAGCCATTTGCAAGCGACGGTTAACTGTTATTCATTTGCGTGTGCTCCAACGTACGGTCGATACTTCCGATTCATTTACTTACCCGTCTACTATCGCGTCGCATGTTGCTAGTTCACGGACAAATTAGTTTGCTCGAAACAAATAAAATGTCAAACTGATATTGACCCCTATGCGTCCATCGGTCTTTTGATAGCGTTGTCGCGTTAACGCTGCGTCTCGGCAAAAGCTCGACTCATTAATGTGTGTTACAACGGTCTACCGTCGTCGATATTAAGTCAGTTCCACCAACGAGAAACACGAATAAACGGGAATTTTTGTAATTAGCGTAACGAGTAATCCCCGACAATGTTGTTTTATTACGTGCGCTTTGTTTCGGTGGACGGTTTGAAAATAAAAGGATGCGGAACGATGTAATATCTTCTGGGACGTCCTATTAATAAATTTAATTACGAAATACTTGCTCGCGATTTTAGTCGTCTGTGTTTGAATGCCGCAAAATAACTTAAGAACTAAACGTACGCGTACGTGCCAGTATTCCGGAAGAGATTATATAATAGAGGAACGGTAGCTGTAATCTGGCATGATAAAGATGCAGATTACTCTGTTTCTACGATTAAATACTTCAACTTCCAGCTCGTAATAACGCTACGCCATTGCGAAACGTCGCAGTGCACGCAACGGAATACACTTGCATTGCTTAATACGCATTCCTAAAATTCGGACAAAGGAAATGGACCGAATTTTTCTTACGCCAGAACCACGAGCGTGCAATTCGTTTTAGCAGTGAACTGTACGGTAACTCGTATTCATAAATCAAGCTTAGAGTATAATTACCATTGCTGTCTGACGTAAAAATAAAAAGAGAAAGCTTTCACGTGCGCGATTCTGGCATAAGAGAGATGTGGCTTTGAATGGTTCGCTGTAGAGAGATGTTTGCAAAATTAAGGAATTTTCTCTGTTATAGACGCTTACAAAAAAAAATCGATGTTTTTTTTAATGCATTGTTCGATTTGTTGTCTGTAGAGTATGTATGTAACATATCGTAGTCGAATTAAAAACAAATTTGATGATGTAACGGCGATTATGAACGTTCCGGCGCGCGAACTTGGAAACTGTTGGGCTTTGATGGAGTGTCGAGATTAAGGAAGTACTCTTTCATAATTCACCATTATCTGATAAAATGCAAGTAATTTGTATGATGTTCAAAAGCCCATCGTCCGATGATTCGATTTCTACGACGATACGTTCTAAAACGGCAACGGAAGTTTTACATAATTTGACAAAAAAAGATATGTAACAACACGACATATGGGAATAATTTGCCCCGAATACAAAAGAGTTTCACTTTTTTAAAACATGTTTATCAAGAGATTGAATACTTTCCTCCCTTGTCGATTAAAGTGCAGAGATTTCTAAACAAATAGTAATAGTAATAATATTAACGTTCTTATCGCGTCGTAACGAGAGTGCAGAATTATGTAAAAAGTTGAGATAGCGGGATCGTGAGATCTGGAACTACGTTTTGATTCGTCGCGGTCGGGTGATTTTATTTGACTCTCTACGTATCGATAGTCGACCTCGCGATACATCGAGCACGAGTGCTCAACTTGCAATCGTTCTGTTCGTTCGAGGCAATCGAAGCGAATGGATTGCGCTAAGGAGAATCAGAATTTTTTCTGGACAAATAGTTCGTGTTTTCTTTGTTTTCGAAGTTGCTTGTAAAGTTTCGTCCGTGTTGAAGATAGCGAGAGAGTCGTTGGTTCGTCGAATCAAGCAGAATCACGAGTTTGGGATACGAGTGGTCGCGCGAAGAGGCGGGGGGAGGGGGGGGGGAGGGATTGGCTGGTGATTGGAGGAAAAGAAGAAGAAACAAAATACTCTTAACGAAGGCAACCGCGGCGCATTTGTTGGATGTATGGGTACATACACCGCGCAGTCTGCTCACGCATTTAATGAATAGAGTCGCGTTTGCGTCGAGTTAATGCGCGCGAGTGGAAACGAACAAGCTTTTTCGATGCACGGTTAGCGTACATACGTTTATACATACATATATCGAATAGCGGTTTGCGAGCACGGAGCCTGGAGGAACCTTTCGCAGCCGCGATACCGCCGACTTTTGTTTACACTTGAATAGTGTCGAGTGTTTCCGCAGACGAGCGTGGAAACTTACCAACGTTTTATTTATTTAATTTCTTCCTCGACGTACGAACCATTTCAAAATTCCTTTATATGTATGAAATATATTTGATCAAGAGTTTTTACTCTTAATTGTTGTAATCGAGAAAAATATTTTTTTTTCACCAAATTAACAAGTTCTAACACATTCGAGACTGATGTTTTATTATGATTGAGGAAATATCCTCAGCAGACGCCAATATTTTTATGATTAACTATACAAGTATTGTCTGTCCACGAGGAAAAGGCTAACGAGTGTTTGTATCTCCACTTTAATTTGCAAACTACTGGCTCCCCTACCATTACACTCATTGTCGCTATTGGCAGAGGTCACCAATTGGCGATCTTCGTCACTGTTCTCGACCAATGGCGATAATACGTTAACCTTCTTCTCGCGGGCGAACAGTATACTCGCGAAGTCACGCTCATGTTTTTTTATCAGAGTTTCGGCTGAAATGGAACGTAAAAAATTATTCGCGAGCACTCGTCGATCGAAAATATTGATTCGAATGTTTCACTTAGCCGTGCATTACCTACGAAACGAGGAAAGAGCAAACTTTAATAAAGAAACGTAATTTATTGAACCTCCATTAAAGAAATTGTAAAAGTCATACTGCTATTCCAATTCAAATAAACTACGATGGAAACAAGGAAAAGGCAAATTTTAATAGAGCCCAACTTGCTAAATTTCCACTTAAAAAACTGTAAAAGTCAAGGATACATTGCACAAACGGCGAATAAAACTCGTGCTAGGATGTAATATATTATGAAAAGCTTCGAAGAATATCTCATTTTTAATAAAGCGGGAATAAGTTCCGTAAAGTTTTTAAATATGCACGACGAATGGTTTAGTACCCGGCGAGGACAGATCTCGTTTATAAGTGCACTTAAAACTTACCGTGCAAGTAAAAGAATATCCGAATAAAAATATTCTCTCTGAGAATATAAAACGGAGTTTATGAAATAATAAGTTACATGACCGAGTAGCCCAGAAAAATTCGTACGTTCGCGATAAAAATAAGAAATTGAGAATAAAATTGCTCGAAGATGGTCGACCAAGTTCGCGTGTACAAGAACCGTAACCGGAATTAGAACCATACACGACCAGTCAATTACGAATAAAATAAATGTAAAATTTGTGAAACCTTTTTAATAAGGTATATTCGAATAGTAGAATAGATATATTGACAAAATCACGAGATTTCAAGTCACAGTTAAAAGTAGTTGTTTGGGACGCTCATTACTCGAGCTCCCAAAGTTTACGTTTATTTTTCTCATAAGTGGTCGTCTATCTACGACTATAAATCCAGTTACGATTGTTGTGCACGTAAGTCTATAAAGCTGGCAAATTTTATTGAAACCGATGAAGATCGGTAGACGTTCTGGTTGCGAGTGGAAGGCATCGATGGCGAACGAAACTGTGAGATGCGGATGTTGCCGCCCCGTTCTCGCGTACACTCGCTCGAATGCTAGATGTGGGAACGCCGTGGCCCGTATTTCTCGTCTGCCTTTCGATGCTCGGTGTTTTTTTTTTTTTTCGCGAGATAAGTCGTTTGATTCGTTCTACCTTTCTCTCCCTATCTTCCGACAGAAACTTTATTCTGTTAAACCTTTTTCCTCGCCCTCGTCAAAGGTCGTGTATCGTGCAGCCACTGTGGTTTCTTACGCACGCGCGTTCGTTCGTGGATCTCGACGGAAAAAGAGAAAGCATAACGCTGAAAATATTAACCGATGAGATATCCGCTCGCCTCGTATCCGTTCTTGCGTTAGCTATTCTTTTCGCCTCGCTTACGTCAATCTCGAATTTAGCGTAGGCACGGACCAACGGCGCCGCGTAAAAAGAAATGCAAAAGAAAGTAATTGTTTATCTTGTACGATGGATGCAAATAGAATGTTCGTAAATTTACTTACAAAATAGAAATTGAAAACGGACCATAAATCATTGTAGTTTGGGATGAGCAAAGGGATGGTATTTGAATAAGCATTCGAACGAGGAATATCTTAGTACGTAATTTGTATTTTGTTTGTAGTCGAACGTTTAATAATAGGTATACGCACGATGTATTCAATAGTTATGCAATCGAATGCAAGCTTTTCATTTGTTTCGACGGTGAG